AGTCCTCACTGTGTCAGAATGGATGTCAGCAGGATCAACGGGCTGCTTTGATGTCAACCTGAGAGGCACTATAAGCCCCTCCCCCGTCAGAGTGTCGGAGCAGGACAAATCAGTGCAACGTCAATCAAATGAGAGAGAGGGTGTGGGCGATTGTTGCATTGGGGGGGAGTGTTTTATGGGTAGAGTAGTTTATTTTTCCTGTAATACTTCATTATTGTTTTTTAAGACAAAGCTAATTGAAAGGGGCGCTGAGCACAGTTACAACCAGGGATTACAAATAATTACTTTTTTTCTTCTGCAGTTTGGCGCCCCCTCCAGCAGATGGCACTCTAGGCAACTGCCGAGTTCGCCTATGCCAAGAGCCGGCTCTGGTTTAGTTACAACAAAGATCTCTWAACTACAGCAGAAACATTTAATAAAGATCAATTTCTTTCAACCTAAACTTGTGTTTTGTCTATTATTTTTTTTTTATTAACTTCATGGTTTATTTATATAGTGCCATGTTGATGGTAGTCTAAAATGAGCCAGACATAAACAAACAACCAGAAGTGATAAAAATGACTTTTATTTTGAAATGAACACTGAAAGTTGTGACGGTTGATAGGTAGGTTGGAGAAATGGAGAACACTGGGGAAGGTGTAGAATCCAGTGCGCTGAAGTTTGTGAGTGTGAGGCAGGTTGAACAGGAGGCAGGTGGCTGAGAGCTTWCTGCAGGATGTCTCAGGAGAAAGGTGAGGGGAGGAAGACATTGGGAAATGCCAGAGCTGCGGAGAAGCATAGTAAACGTTGTCTTAGGAAAAAAACTTACTTGCAGACAATTATGTTTATGTATCTTCTGAAGGGTATAAATACAATAAAAAGCGGATCAGGTCCAAAACTGAAAATAATAATATAATAACAAAGAACTGAAGTAGTCTAGTTTAGATGTGATAAATGTGTGGATCGTTATTTATGTTTTTTTTTTTTTTGGTCAAGATATTTCCTATTTTAGTGATATTACGCAGGTGGAAGAAGGCAGTCCTGGTAACATTTTTAATGTGGGGTTAAAAAACATATCCTGATCAAAAATAACACCAAGCTCCTTTATTTTCGAATTGGAGACCAGATTAATGTCATCCAGGATGTGAAAGGCTGCAAAATTTATTTCTAAGATGCTCATGTACAAAAACCACAACCTGTTTCTTGTCTTATTTTAAAAGCAAAAAATTAAGAGATGTCCAGGAGTCTTTAAGAGACGTCTTTCAAAAA